TTCTGCTTCCTGCCCAGCTGCTATGGAGTATATCTCCGCTGTTGCTGTGGGCGTGGCCTGGCTCGGGCTGCTGCTCCAAATTGGTGGACTTGGGTTGGAGGGGGAGCGGCCGGGAGGCTATTTATCTTTGTAAGGGGCCTCCATGCTCCCTGCAGCCCAGGGGATTAGAGTGCCCAGAGATCCCCAGATTCCCTACCTCTGGTCTAATTGTCCCACCCTGCCCCTTTAAGACTTCCAAAAAGCACCTGTCAAAACAAAACAATGACCACAAAAAATAAAAATGAAAAAAAAATGGCCACTCGTTTTTCTTTATTCTCTGGCGCCAGCCTCAGGCACCCACTCACCATTCTTGCTGCCCTGTTTCCCTAGTATCCAGGGCTCCGCGCATGCATTGTGTTTGGGCTCTGGTCCGGATGGCTGGGGCTGGGTGTTCAGCATTCCTGGGCTCCCTCTCCCTCCCGCTCAGACCTCTCTCCTCCCACCGGGAGCTTGGGGGAGGGGTGCTCGGGACCCACCGGGCCGGGGTTTGCATCTTACCCCCTTTGCGAGGCGCTGGGTTCTCGCAGGTGTGGATGTGGTTTGGATGTTGTCCTGTGTCCTCTGGTCTTTATTCTAGGAAGAGTTGTCTTTGTTATATTTTCATATATATATATGTGATTTTGGGAGGAGATTTCCGCTGCTCTACTCACGCTGCCATCTTGGCTCCGCCCCCACTAGTACCTTCTTAAGAGTCTTTGAGTCAGCTGCTGTTTTGTTCCTTCAGTTTTGCTTCATTGTTATACTCCACAAATGAGGGAAATCATTTGGTACTTCTTTTTCCACCTGGCTGATTTCACTGAGCATTATACCTCTAGCTCCACCCATGTTGCTGCAAATGGTAGGATTTGTTTTCTTCTTATGGATGAATAATATTTCATTGTGTATATGTACCACACATTCTCTATCCATTCATCTACTGATGGACACAAGTTGCTTCCATATTTTGGCTATTGTAAACAGTGTTGCGATAAACCTAGAAGTGCATATGTCTTTTTGAATCTGAGATCTTGTTTCCTTTGGGCAAATTCCTAGGAGTGGAATTTCAGGGTCAAATAGTATTTCTATTTTTAGTTTTTTGAGGAACCTCCATATTGCATTTCACAATAGTTTAATTTACTTTCCCACCAGCAGTGTAGCAGGGTTCCTAGTCTTTTCAGTGTTGACCATCCTAACTGGCGTGAGGTGATATCTCATTGTGGTTTTAATTTGCATTTACCTGATAAGAAATGATATGGAGCATCTTTTCATGTGCCTGTTGGCCATCTGAAATTTTTCTTTGGAGAAGTGTCTGTTCAGATCCTCCACCCATTTTTTAATCATATTATTTGCTTTTTGGGTTTTGAGGCATTTGAGTTCTTTATATATTTTGGATGTTAACCCCTTGTGGGATACGTCATTTACAAATATTTTCTCCCATACTGTAGGATGCCTTTTTGTTCTGCTGATGGTGTCCTTTGCTGTACAGAAGCTTTTTAGTTTGATGTAGTCTGATTTGTTTATTTTTGTTTTTGTTTACCTTGCCCAAGCAGATGTGTTCAGAAAAAAGTTGTTCATGTCTATATTCAAGAGATTTTTGCCTATGTTTTCTTCTAAGATTGTTATTAAAGGTTTCATGACTTACATTCAGGTCTTTGATCCATTTTGAGTTTACTTTTGTATATGGGGTTAGACAATAATCCAGTTCCATTCTCTTACATGTAGCTGTCCAGTTTTGCCAACACTATTTGTTGAAGAGGCTGTCATTTCCCCATTGTATATCCATGGCTCCTTTATTGTATATTAATTGACCATATATGCTTGGGTTTATATCTGGGCTCTCTATTCTATTCCATTGATCTATGGGTCTTTTCTTGTACCAGTACCAAATTGCCTTGATTACTGTGGCTTTCTAGTAGAGCTTGAAGTCGGGGAGTGTAAGCACCTCAGCTTTATTCTTCTTTCTCAGTATTGCTTTGGCTATTCGGGGGTCTTTGTGGTTCCATATGAATTTTAGAACTATTTTCTCTAGTTCATTGTAGAATGCTATCGGTATTTTGATAGGAATTGCACTGAATCTGTAGATTGCTTTAGGCAGGATGGCCATTTTGACAATATTAATTCTTCCTATCCATGAGCACAGGATGTATTTCCATTTATTGGTGTCCTCTTTAATTTCTCTCATGAGCGTCTTGTAGTTTTCAGGGTATACTTTCACTTCCTTGGTTAGGTTTATTCCTAGGTATTTTATTCTTTTTGATGCAATTGTGAATGGATTGTTTTCCTGATTTCTCTTCCTGCTAGTTCATCATTAGTATATAGGAATGCAGCAGATTTCTGTGTATTAATTTTATATCCTGCAACTTTGCTGAATTCAGATATTAGTTCTAGTAGTTTTGGGGTGAATCTTTACGGGTTTTTACATACCATATCATGTCATCTTCAAACAGTGACAGTTAAACTTCTTCTTTACCAATCTGGATGCCTTTTATGTCTTTGTGTTGTCTGATTGCCGTGGCTAGGACCTCCAGAACTATGCTGAATAAAAGTGGGGAGAGTGGGCAGCCTTGTACTGTTTCGGATCTTAAAGAAATGTTGGAGTAGCTATACTATATTAATTTCAGACAGAAAACTTCCAAACAAGGAAAATTACCAGTGATAAAGAGGAACATTACATAATAATAATAACTAGAATGCATAACAATTCTTAATGTATATAAACCTAAACACAGAGTGTCATAATATATGAGGCAAAAACTTATAGAACTCCAGGGAGAAATAGATGAATCAACTATTATAATTGAATATTTCAATGTCCCTGCATAAATGGACAGATACAGCAGGCAGAAAAATCATAAGGACATAGTTGAACTAACATAGTCATCAGTCAATTGGATATAATGCAATGGAAGAGTAGAAACATAGTAGAAATTATAGATGACCTTGGGTTTGGTTATGACTTTTTAAATACAATGCTAAAAGCATGCTCCATGAAAGAAAAAAATTACTAAGTTGGACTTGATTAAAATTAAAACCTTCTGCTCCATGGAAGACATCAATAAGAAAATGAAAAGACTGGAGAATATCATTGTGAAACACAAATATGAAAAGGAACTATTATCCAAAATACATTAAGAACTCTCAAATTCAACAGTAAGAAAACAAAAACCCCAATTAAAAAATGGGCAAAAGATCTAAACTGACACCAAGGAATATAGACTTAATGCAAAGTATATTATGCTTAAATCACCTATCATTAGGGGATTTCAAATTAAAGCAATAATATAATACCACTATATGCCTCTTAAAATGGCTGAAATCCAAAACATTGACAACACCAAATGCTGGTGATGATACAGAGCAACGGGAACTGAAGTGCAAAATAGTACAGACACTTTGGAAGATGGCTTGGCAGTGTTTCAAAAAACTAAACATAATCTTACCTTATGATTCAGCAATCACACTCCTTGGTATTTACACAAATGAACTGAAAATCTACATCTACAGAAAAATCTGAACATGAATGTTTACAGCAACCTTATTCATAATTGTCAAAACCTGTAAGCAATCAAGATGTCCTTTGATAGATGAATTGATAAAATGGTACATCCATACTGTACATCATCATTAAATGATAAAAAGAAATGAGCTAACAATTCATAAAAAGACATGAAGGAACCTTAAACACTTACTGCTAAGGGAAAGAAGCCAATCTGAAAAGGCTACATATTGTATGACTCCCAGCTCTATATGCTGGAAAAGGCAAAGGAGACAAACAGTTAAGTAGATTAGTGATTGTGAGGGTTTTGGGGTGGGGGAGGCAGGGAAAATGAACAGATGGAGCACAGTGGATTTGGGGGGAAGTGGAACTATTCCCTATGATACTGTAATGGTGGACACATGTCATTCTCCATGTGTCAAAACCCACAGAATGTACAACCCAAAGAGTAAACTCTACCACCAACTATGGTTAATAGTTAATGATGGTGTATTATCTCTTCAGTTTTGACAAATGTACCACACTAGTTTAAGATGTTAATAACAGTGGAAACCAGGGGTGGGGTTGGGGGACAGATTAAAATGGTATACCTATACTCCCTTTTCAACGTTTCTGTAAACCTAAAACTGTTAAAAAGCAAAAGTATATTAATTAAGAAAAATATTTTGGGAAATATTAATGAAAAGTCTCTAGTGGGCAGGGAATGTTGGAGAAAAATAAGACTGTTTAGCCCAGAACATTAGATGAAACAGTTAAAAGTACTAAGTGATGGAGTTAGAACAGAGTTCCAACAATAAAATTTTTTAAGATTTTTGATAATATGGAATGTTTTGAGATACAACACAAATCAAATACACAGCTTAATGAATTATGCTAAGATGAACACCCTTGTCAACTACTTTAGTCAGAGAAGAAGCTTGCTATGCAGCCCAGAAGCCTTCCATATAATATTCTTTACTATTTCCTAACTTACCTCCCAAGAATAATTTGACTTTTATAATCATCTTCTCATTTTAATTTTGCCTTTAAAAAAAAAAAGCCTTTTAAGTTCCTTTTAATCAATAGATTCCACCTGGTCACTTTTTAAAATTTCCTTTACATTTGTTTTTTTAAGAATCAAGATAATTTATCATGTAGAATTTCCAGCAGACAGGATTTTGTTGATTTCATCCTTGCAGTTAAATTGACATGATTCTAATAATATTTCTAGTAAATTGATACCTGGATTTGGAGGTTTGTATTTATTTTTTGGGAGGGATGCAAGGCTACTTCATGGATTGTGTGTTCAAGATCAATTTTAACTTCTATGAACAACAAAATTCTAGAGACAAAAGAAATCTTAAATTCATGCAGTGACAGGATAATTGCTCCCTCTAGTGAAAAGGCAAGTAATTAAGTGGAAGTAACATTTTGATGGTTAATGCTTCTGAAGTCTGATATCTGTATTTAATGTAAAAAGAAAACATGCTTTTCAATAATTTTCCAGGTTATCTTTCTTCAAGAAAGCATTCTAGTGAAATAATCCTACAGTCAGTCTTGGTCTGCTTCATGTGTGTGACAGTAATACTATGTATAGTGATTACTGCTCTGGCAGGTAAGTAAACTCTTAATCTTTGTTCTTCTAGACAATTCCACTAAAGAGAAAATTACTCAATAATTGTTCTGTTCTTCACAGATCCTAATAAAAAATTTTTTTTACTTCACCAATTGAGTTTAACTCCAATAACTTTATCAAGGGGATGTAAAATTTTAATTGTGTAAGATAAGTGTCACATTATTGCCAAGTTTAATGGAATGAGCAGTCTGCAGAAGGTAGAACCTCTTAGTCATATTGTACTTTATTTACATTATTGCCAGGCTTTTTATTATGTGTATACATATGTATGTATGTATATATAAAATTTATACACATATATATAAAATTTACTAATGGAAATTATTTTCTTCTTAAAAAAATTTCTTTATATTAAGGATATATAGCTAAAGTGTTTATAAAAAAGTCAAAAGTCACTTAGTTTTCCTTTTTGAAATCCTCCTTCAGCCCCCTACCAAATTTTGAGGTCTGGCTAATTCCTCCTGTCTCACCTTAAGTGTCACTTTCTCATGGATGCCTTCCCAAGCTCTCCACGGTAGGTGTGGTTTGTCTCTTGGATGGCCTCATAGCATCTCCGCTTTTCCTTTCCTTGTTCAGCTGAGCTTGAATTGACATATACCACTATGTTAGCTTCAGGTGTACACCATAATTGAAATTACATTTTCAACTGAAATTACTTCTAAAACATTGTGCATTGGTGCTAATGGAGGGCATGTCTAAATAGAGGTATAGAAGTCCATGTGTACAATTTATGAAATTGTGTTTATGCTTGAATATTGGTTGAGAATTCAGCATGTAATTTTTAGTCAATATATTAATTAGGATATAGGCTGAGATGATATTAAAAAGAAGGACGACATGACCTCCAATGAGTTCTACACAATGGTAAAAGGGCATATCAAAGTGTGGACAAAGGGTCTGTTTGTGTTTATACAAAGGATCAAAGCCTAATTTGGGTACCCAGAAAATGAACTAAGATACGATATGAAGAACTTCCAACATCAGCACTCTCTGGAAGACTCATACCAGAAGATGATCATCAAAAAACCTCAACAAAGATCCAGGCACTGCTACAGCTGTAGCTGCATTCGTCCCACCGGTTCCTGGACTTGCCATGGGAATGAAGAAGGAGATACTGAAGCTGGCCTGTGCATACAGTAAAACAACAAATTTGACTGGATCTATACTGTTGGAACTCAACCAAGAATTAGGAGAAGTGCAAGTTGTAATGCTCCAAAATCGTACAACTACAGACTATCTACTGTTAAAAGAACATATGGGATGTGAACAGTTCCCAGGAATAAGTTGTTTTAATTTGTCTGATTTCTCTCAGACTGTTCAAGTACAGTTGGACAATATCCATCATATCATAGATAAATTTTCACAAATGCCTAGGATGCCTAAATGGTTTTCTTGGTTTCACTGGAGATGGCTGGTAATTATAGATCTGTTTGGTTATGTAACTGTATTCCTATTATATTAATGTGTGTGCACAATTTAATTAGTAGTTTAAAACCTATACATGCTTAAGTTACTCTACAAGAAGATAGGTCAAAGAAATAATCAATCTTCCCATGTTTTCTTCCATCTGCTACCTCTATAGCTTTTCTTCTTCCTTCCTAATTACAACCCTTAAATAGAATTCGTGCCTCATATTGAATTTACCGAGTATCATAATTCTTCCAAGTGGTAAAGATACCTCAAGACAAATGCTGGGCATAGAAGCCACAGGGCATAAATCTGCTAAGAAGTAAAAAGCTAAGCTTTTCAAACGATATGGCTTCTCTCTCACTTACCAACTTTACATTTCCCTGTATGGCTCCGGAAGATGACTGGTTAGCCAGAGACGGGTAAGATTCCTCAAGGGAGGAACAACCTAAGACAGGCACAGTCGCAGGGGGGCCATCATCAACAGAGGTGAGGCTCAGAACCTCACCCCCCCTGCTTTGAGAGAAATCTTCTGCATCCGTGGATGTCTTGCTGCCCTTGTCTAGCCTGGATTAATACTTAGTCCATAGGCACACACCTGATCATCTGATCATCTACATTTGCCCTCTTACAGCACTAAACTATGTTTTCTACCTTTATCTTGCATCTACCTACCACTTCAGCATTTTATTGAAAATAGTAATAATAATAATAATAAGGGAGAAATGTGGGATTCACATATAAATCAAGTATAAAAATCAAATATTCATATTTGACCTGATTGTTTACAGTTCATAATACATGATCAAAACCGAAAGTTTCTGTGATGACTGCCCTTGTACTGTTCACCATGTAAGAACTTATTCACTATGTAAGAATTTGTTCACCATGTAAAAACTTGTTCGTAATGCTTCAGAAGATTGGAGACTGATGAGAATTAGGCTTGGGGTGGATTAATGATTGTGCATTGAGCATTGAGTCACCTATACAGAATTTTATTGTTGTTAACAACCATTTGATCAATAAATATGAGAGATGCCCTCTCAAAAAAGAAAAAAGAAATCAGAGCTTCAGAGAAAAAAAAAAAAAAGGACCACAAAAAGCATGATGGCTTACAAAACACAGATATTTTTCACCTCTCAATTGTCCTGGAATGACAGGATGAAGCCATGGGACTGCTATTTTTTCCATCATTCTCCAGGATATCATTGGCTTCTGGAGAATGTCACCATCCAGGCAGGGTTTCCTGAAAGAAAGGAAGAGAGGCATAGAGGAGAGAAGCTCTATCTTTTAAGCTCTGAAACAGAACATGGCATACATCCCTTCCACTCAGATATCATTTGTGGAAAATTAGTAATAAAGGTACACATAAATGAAAAGGAGTCTGAGAAGTGTGAATTTGTCCAGGTTCTACTAGATTATTATGGAAGGGGAGGAAAAAAGAAGTTAAAAATTACCCAGAATCTACTATAGTGTATATATCCTTCTATGTTTTAGACCCTTTTTTTTGGGGGGGGGGGGTATTTTTTGAATTGTGGTAAAATATACATAACATAAAGTTACCATTTAAGCATTTTTATATGCAGTTCTGTGACATTAAGTACATTCACAATGTATGTCCAACCATAAGCACCATCAATTCCAGAACTTTTTCATCATCCCACCAGACACTCTGTACCCATTAAACAATAAATTCGCATTCTCCCCCTGGACTCAGCCCTGGAAACCATTTTTCTACTTTATATCTTAACAAATACAGCTTTTCTAGGGTTCCTTTGAGAGGAATTATACAATGTTTGTCCTTTTTTGTTTGGCTTATTTCATTTAGCACAACATTTTCAAGGTTCCTCCATCTCATAGTATATATTTTCATTTCTTTTTAAAGCAGAAAAATATTCTATTACACCTACATATGATGTATCTATTCATCTGTTGATGAACATTTGTGTTTACTGGGCAATATTGTGAATAATGCTGTGAACAATGCTGTGAATAAGGCTGCAGAATCCATCTGAGTCTCTTTCCCTTCTTGTGGTGTACACCTAGAAAGGGAATGACTGGATCATACTGTAATTACATGTTTAACAGCTGCTAAACTGTTCCATCATTTTACATTCCCACCAGAGACACACAAGGGTGCTAATTTCTCCACATCCTTGTCAACTTTATTTTCCTTTTTTTGTTTGTATAGTTGCCACCCAGTGGGGAAAAAGTTGCATCTCATGGTGGTTTTCATTTGCAATTCCCTAACTAGTGAGGCTGAGCATCTTTCATGTACTATGTGGCCATCTGGTTATCTCCTTGGGAGAAATGACTTTTTAAATTGGGTTGCTTGTCTCAGGTTTTTCTGATTTTGTGTCTTTCCTGAGCCTGTATGGGGTTTTCCAAATTCTTCCATAAGTGGAATTGCTTTTGAATGCCATAATTTCCCAGACAGTTCTGGCTTCTCCTTAGGACCACAGAGGGTTTATGCTCTCTCTCCACCTCAAATCTCTCGCTTCAGTCATTTGCGGGCCCTAGTCTCCTGCACTTCCCACTCCCAGTGGCTGCTGCTTTGCTGTCTCACATCCAAGCTGGCAAAACAGACACTAGTCCTTGTGGCAGCACCGAGACATGAAAACATTACACAAAGGTCTGCTCTGCTCCCTGCATTCTGAGAGAGGGAACAGGGAACTGGTCTGCACCCCCCACCCCCTGCTTTCTTTACATAAAAACTGCTGCTATATGCATTAGAGAGCATCTCATGGGTAGATAAAAATACCACAAAACTTTCCTACCACTTTGAAGATGTAATATATAATTTTTCCAGGAAAAGATGTGTTTGCCTATGCAAACTTACATACCCCAGGACACAGTGATAGTTCACATTAGGTCACACTCCTTGATAAACCTTGATAATAGCAGAGTGATACAGAGAACTATTCCCTGGGGTAATTCAAAACAAAATCCATGATTTAATTCAAGTACAGAAAACCAGTTGAAATATATGCTCCTGTCTTCCTATATTTTTTATGTCCTGACTCATCCTCCATACATGATTGTTCACCTTTTATTAAATTCCCCTTAGGTCACCGAGCTGCTGGCCAGATTACAGGTTGAGGACAGTAGAGTTTAAGAGCAGAGTTGAGGGTAGACTGATTTAGAATGCTTGGATGTGAATTCTCTTTTGTTTGTGTAGCCTTTTTTTTCTCTCATATTTATTGATCAAATGGTTGTTAACAACAATAAAATTTTGTATAGGGGAGTCAATGCTCAATGCACAATCATTAATCCATCTCAAGCCAAATTCTCATCAGTCTCCAATCTTCTGAAGCATAACGAACAAGTTCTTACACGGTGAACAAATTCTTACATAGTGAATAAGTTCTTACATGGTGAACAGTACAAGGGCAGTCATCACAGAAACTTTCGTTTTGATCACGCATTATGAACTATAAACAATCAGGTCAAATATGAATATTCGTTTGATTTTTATACTTGATTTATATGTGGATCCCACATTTCTCCCTTTATTATTATTATTATTTTTATTTTTAATAAAATGCTGAAGTGGTAGGTAGATGCAAGATAAA